CATGCTGAAGCGATGGTGATGAAAAATATGCTTCAATTAAAGAATAATGAAGTAAATACAGGAAATTTAAAAATGCACATTAAAAAGGAATACTGCCCTAACTTATATAAACTTTTACAAGCAGCAATGACACTTCCAGTGAGCTCCGCCAGTTGTGAGAGAAGTTTTTCTGTCATGAGGAGAAGAAAAACGTGGCTTAGAAGCACAATGCTTCAAGAACGATTCTCTAATATGTCACTGCTGCATATAGAAAGTGAAATTGTAAAAAATAAAATTTCTGCTCAAAAAGTGTTGGACCGATTTACTGAGAAAAAAAGAAAATTACAACTTATTTAATTATTACTTTGTTGTTATTTAATGTTTTTTTGAGTACCTGTTTTAAATTCCTATCTACTAAAAATTAAAGTTGAATTAATGATGTGTTTTTTTTGTCGGGCTAGCCGGCTGACCAGCGGGCCCCTTAAGGCCCACCCCAAGCAAAAATCCTAGCTACGCCCACGTCTGAAGGTCAAATCAGCATTCCGACAGCTATTCTATCCAAACATAGGAAAAACGGAAATTGTCACGTCTAAAAATGTATACTTGGCCCTACGTCAGAATGTATGTATAGTGTAAAGATCTGCTACCTACTCTTAAGATTATAAATTGTTAATTCTTTATTTAAATTTAATAAAAAGGTCCAAAAATACAACAAAACGCATATTACGTTGATTCAAACCTACTCGCTCTAGCTTAGTATGACAGTCTTGAGATTGTAAGACTCCATGTAAACGCACCCTAAGTTAGCAAAGCTACACATTCAGCTAGAAGGAATAAGACTTTGGGATAGCGGCTACCTGGAGGCTTGTGTCCGGTGTGCATTTGTGGGCGGCGCTATATCGGGCGTAAACTTATTTGTTTGGTTCACGCGTACTTCTGAAATTTTGAATCTATAAATGCTACATCGTAAATGGAGTCATAATAATGAAATAGTGAAATTGATTGTAATATTTGTTGGTACCATTTAAACACTTTGTTTATAATTTCAACAAATTCTGAAATACCTATATAGGTATGGTCATATTTTTATTTCCGTTACCTACAAAGTTAGTAAATTATATAAATATTTCACCAGTCTCCTCTAATAATTCTGACTTCGCCCGCATATCATTTGTATAGCTTTATGCCATCGATATAAAAAGAGAATAAAAAAACGCCATATGAAATACGCAAAGCCTGCGGTTCTAAACTCTCCTTGACTATTGGTTTATCTTGGTCTCTGTCTTTCGATGGCATAAAGAGTCTAAGCCACGGCCTGGAATTGACAGCAGTGTTGCCATACGTACAATAATTACCCTATTTGTACGATATTTTTTTACAAGAATGATAAGAGGTTTTGAGACCATACTAAAGTATTACTAAAGTATTCCAACTTTATTACAAATTATTTATCATCTTTAGTAAAAACTAAAACGTTATTCTAAAATAAAATGAGTGGAAAATTCTTAAGCAAAATAATGAATCGTTTTCAAATGCTTATTAAATAAAGCTTATTATTAATTAATAAGGTGTTCAAACAAACCACCTGCTTAAGCGTCACAATACCCTAATCTGTCGTAAAATTCTTGACGAACGTTTGACAAAATTTCAGGAGTAACTGATCCTGAAATATTTCTAATTTTAAGCCGTAATTCGTCCAAATTTGCGACTCTTTCGTGTCGATGTTTGTAGAGAAGTTGCGTTAAATGACCCCATAAAAAGAAGTCGCAGGGTGTCAGACCTGGAGATCGAGGAGGCCAAGGTATGATACCTCTTGTGGAAATAAGCCTTTTAGGAAAAGTTTGTTCCAAATAATCTTGAACTGGCCTTGCGTTGTGTGCAGAACATCCATCTTGCTGAAACCAAATTTCCTCAAAATTTACATCCAAGTTTCGTAGCTGGTACAATACTATTTTGTAATAAATGCAAATATCTCTCAGCATTTAAGTTAGCACCAATAAAAAAGGGACCCACAATATTATCACCTAAAATGCCAGCCCAAACATTTACTTTTTGAGGGTACTACATTCTTAATGGTATACTTAAATGCTTGCTTTCCTGGAACCAATATTGGACCACTGAAGGATTATGACGGCCAAGTAGGGAAAAGATGATTCGTCTGTAAATAAAATCTGCTTAGCAAATTCATTATTTTCATCTTTTTTTTTCCCTGATGGATGCACAAAACTCCATACGCCTTATTTGATCACCAGGAATAATTTCTTGAGAAGTTTCGGAAATTTGGGAGGAAGAACACGGCCCACTTACTTCCACAAAAGCACAGACATTAACCTCTTTTCCTCTCCTTGCTTCAGGAATTTGACGAGATTCCAGATTGCTACATTTCGTACACCGATTAACACATCCACAGTCCTCAAACTTATGAAAAATATTCAAAACCGTTCTAGCAGTGGGGACTGGTTCGTCAGGGTATGAAAATATAAATCGACCAACGACTCCCTCTGCACTTTCTGCACGACAATACCATTTAATAATATTAATTTTCTGTTCGAAACTGTACACCATTTTTATTTTGTAATATTCCGTCTACTTCTTACCAAAGATTTGAGGGGAATAATAAAATTAAAACTAAACAGACAGCAAAGCGCTTTAGGTATTCGGTCGGTTCACAAAAAATGCAACGGGGCACATGCGTTCCCACAGTCAACCAATTACGAGAGTCCGAGTCGCAGCCTCGATGATATATGTCATGTCCGACCCCTTCCACCCGAAGTTGATAGGGAAGATACGTGTAATTTACTTAGTCTATGCGAAAAAATTACCTGACCAGACCGGTATATAATACCTTCCGAGACATAAATTTTGAAATAGAAGTTACTTAAGTATATATATATATATATTTTCCATTGCACTGATATATTAATTTTCATGCCTTTCATTGTGCATAAATTGCATCTCTTTGTATCTTGCTTGATAAGTAACTGTCTTATGTAATTTTACTACAACTGTCTGGATATTTCTCAAACAATTTATTATATAAGAGTATTCCTAATTTTTAATTTCTATATATTTATTTATTTGTATGTTTGTTGTCAATTTGATAAATATAACTAAAATAAATAGACTTATTAATTATTTTTAAAAAGCACAACAATATACGATACTTATTTATAAAAAAAACGTAGTACCTACCCTAATATTTTTATATTTTAGTTTTGAGAACGATACGCAAATTGGTAGATAATGAAATACGAGTAAAAATACAATTTAACATTACCTTCTAATTCTATATCTTTTTCTGTTGTCGGTGTGAGATTTTCCACATTTTCGGGCACATTTATACGTAATTCTGTTCGTCTCATTGAGCCCCTTAGCATCTCCTTTGTTTTATTTTCTACATACACCCATATATCTTTCTTTCTTGTCATCATTCTCAGGTCTCTAATACAATAATTCCATTGTCTAGGGACACGGCGCATCTTTACTTCTTCATACAATAATTTTAACTGTTTCACGGCTTCCCTATTGTAGACATACTTCGGACGCTTTTCAATGCCCCAAATTTCTAAATTTGCACTTTCGAATAATTGTTTTTCTGTAAAGTCAAAGTTGTCGTCATCAGATTCTTTGAATTTGAGTTGTAGGAGGATATCATTTAGGCAACATCGAATCACGGTATTTCCTATTCTTTCATCAAGCATACTTTTCACATATGTAGATCTTTCTTCGAAATTAGGAGGGTAAACGAAACTCAACAGATTAAGAATTAACTTAAAATTACTATCCCACATTCGAGGCTTCGTTGTAATTTCCCACATCTCAAAGTAATTTCCAGCCACGTTAGACTTAAACCATATGGGAAAATTCATTACTTCTTCAGGAGCTAACAACAATTCGTTTTTATTGAAGTAAAATGAATGAGACTCTTCTCGATCAAATTTTATTAAATCCCTAAATAATAAGAATTTTTCGATTGGATTCCAATAAAATCTAAGTGCCGTTCGTCCAATATTTTTAAGTCTCAAGTATCGAACTTCGGGTGTTCTATCCGTAGTGCATTCATATAGTAAACGAATTTTCATTACGCCATTTTCCAGTTCATTATATCCATATATCTCAGTTTCGTTAATTACGAAACAAATTCTAGGAGTTGCATTTATTTCCTCCGAAGAACTTTTTGATAGTTCTTGCTCTTTTTGTAATGTAGGATCATTATATTCTAGTGAATCGTCATTGTCGTGTAGTTTCTCTTCTTGCGGTTTTAATTTTTGACCAATTATTATCATTTCTTCACATTCAGGTAAATAAGGCTCAATTTGATTAATTTTGGATGATAATATTTTTATATTTGTACTCTTACCAGCTTCATGTGTTGGAAAAAGTTGTCTAAAATATGGGTGTACCTTTAATATCATACAATGTGATTAAATAAGAAAAATCAGCTTTACCTACTGCAAGGCGAGACATTTGTCTCCTTTTTTATATATTTTGGAACTGTTACATGTTTTATAAGCGGAATTTCATTTTGCTCGATTTTAGTCATGTTACTAAAGTAAGTGGGATTGCGAGATTTATGAGATTTCTCAGGTAGTCCCGCTGGAAGCTTCCAAAACGCAGGGTTCCCTCTATATTTGTCAAAGTATGTATTTATTTTACAGTACCCGAAAAGCAACCTTTCTTCTTGGATCTTTCTAAAATCTTCATCCAAATTCATTAGTAAATCTCCAGGAGGTCGTTTCAAAGACTTTGATAAATGCTCGTGTACCTGTTTTCTTTTTGCAACCCATCTTTCCCAATTTTTTAAATATCTTTGGCCTGCGTGGCACTCCGCTACATTTTTATGTTTCGGTTTTGGAGGTAAGCAAGTACATTGCTTACACTCCACATGATCACCTTCATCATCTACTGACGCGTTGCTTGACATATTACTTTAGAAGAAATGTCATTGTCATTTGAGTCATTCATTGCAAAGCTACTGAAATTTTTGTTCATTTTGCATCATTAATCATTATTTTTAAAGTATGTATGAAGAAGAGACAGAAGGTAAATTGTAAATTATTATTTAATTTTAACATTGAGTAGATTTTTGCATAGAACAACCAGAACAAGATGAAGAATTCGAAGACAAAACTATTGCAACCCAAATGTGGATAAGGAGATTAGTAAACTCTGAAGGCATTTTTGAATCTCCAATAGATTTAAACGTGGCGAAAATGAAAGAAATAGATCTATCCTTATTAGAATGGGTTAATTTTGAAGTTCCTCCAAAAAAGATGAAAGTAACAAATACAGGACATACAAGTAAGTCTAATTAAATCTTCGAGGAATTATTAAGAATTAATAGATTTCCATAATGTATAGAGACATTTTTTACAAAATCTGTGTGCTGTTTTGACACACAGGATACATATTTTCTCCTACTACTCTCTCTGGCTTAATTATTCTTAGTATTTTTTTAAATTAAAAATCACAGTGAACACTTACAAGAATTTTTTTGTAAAATAAGAAATATTCATAAAAAATTTTACGTTGTTCATGAAAATGTTTATTTTTAGTTATTTTTAGTGCCAAATGGGGACAAGAACGACCTTACATTACTAAAGGACCATTCTTTGGAAAATATGTCTTTTCCAATTGGCATTTGCATTGGGGAGCTAATGATATGGAAGGAAGTGAACATACCATCGATGGTAGTCAGTACCCTGCAGAAATGCATGTAATAACATTCAAAAGTGCATACTTGACACAAGAAGCTGCTTTAAAGGAACAAGATGGATGTGCAACACTGGTGTATCTTTTTAAGGTACCTATTAGAACGTTAGTTTTGAATGTATTGTGGTTATACGATTAGTTATTTGAAAATTTATCTACAAAAATTTGAAAATTAATAAAATTAGTCTGTCTCTGCAATGATTTCCCTTTAACGCAATCACACATCTACGTTAAACATCAATTCATTATGAACATAATTATATTTGATATCTTCTAGGACGAAGTGAACATGAATTATGAATCATTTATTTGTTGCTTTTTAGTTGCAAGATGCGCCAAATCCAGCTTTTCAAGATATAATCAACGTCTTATCCAGTATACAAAAAGCGGGAACCTCGATGAGATTAGAACCGAAGCCAATTAACTGTCTTCTACAAGAGTTCGAATCGGATTACTTCTTTTATTGGGGCACAGTGAGCACTTCGGGATGCACACATTATCTAATGTGGTTAATTTGTAGAGTTCCTATTGGCGTTTCTAGAGAACAGGTAAGTAAACAACCACTTATAGATATACAGGGTGTTAATGATAAGTTTTACCAAACTCTAACGGCGCATTCTACCGATGAAAATAATCAACATTTGCCCCATAATAATTTTTGTTAGGACGCTTCCCTACGGAGATACAGGGTATTAAAAGTTTAAAATGTTTATATGATTTTTCCTGTGTGCTGTTATAGGAAAAATAATATAAACATTATTTCATATATTTATACAGGGTGTTTCTGACATAAGTGCGTTCCTTGAAAATTGTGATAGAGGGCACGCAAATCAGCAATTTTTATTAAGCAACTGATGGTCTAAAGCATTTCATTTTAAATTGAAAAGAAAACTACACGATGGTTTAAACAAATTTAAAGCCGTACCTGGTGCGGCAGTCAGCTGTACCACAGTATAGAAAACAGTAAATTAACTCCCCGTCTTTTGTGGACCACAACCCCACTGCTCTAAAAGTCCAATAAAGGGACGCGTGGTCTATGCGCAATAGCAAACCCAGCCCCTAGTCCACCAACAAGCCCAGCTTAGCTTTCAGCTTTTGAGGTTCCCCTACTTGCGCGTGGTCTCTGCGCAGTAACTTAAAGCGACATAAAAAATGAAACTAGGGTCCATTTTTTTTATAAATAGGTTAGATAGGCAATGAATTTACTGTTTTCCGGTAATGGACCGCATACAAACGACAAGTCTCATTTAAATTGTAGCGACGCGACATTATCACACCTTAGCAAAGCGCATCCCAGGCTGCATAGCCGCACCACCCTACCCAACCATAAACCTGACACCACCCCCGGGGTTTACACAGACGAGCCGGCGAAGCAAGAAGAGCGCCAGAAGAAAGGGCCCTAGCCGGCGGGGCCCAGCCAGGACAAAAGGAGGTCCCACAAAGCGCCTACACTGGCCGCATTTGCGGTCGGGGTAGACGACGGATGGGGCCCACCTACGAAGGCTGTCCAGGCCTACACGAGATGAGGCAGGATAAAGAGGGATAATCCCCCTCGATCCCAAATCATTAAGGCCAATTTCTAGCCATGGAATAATGGCGCGCGACATTATCCGTACATTAACACCGTCTCTGGTAGCAAAATCTTGCTGCACAAGACTGCTGTGTACCTATTGCTGAAATCAGCATCAGTATTCATTATGCAAATCTTGATCAAAGCTTTCAATGGATTTGATTCAGGGCACTTGAGCACAAAGGGGTAAATTAAAGCAAGTGACTATGTTGCAGACTTACATTAGAATTAAGTAAGACATATTGTACTTGACTTATACTAATTCACCCCTTTGGACTCAAGTACTTTTGGTTAAGTCTGGTGAAAGTATTGTAAAAGTATTTTGCATAAGAAACGATATAAATTTCAGCAATAGACACAAAATAATCTGACACAATTTGGCTATTTCAAGTAAACTTGAAACAACTTGTATTAGAATTGCACACGATTGTGCTACCAGGGATATCTGCCAGTTCTTGATTAGAACATTTTATACGCAGAATAAGAATACTGCAACACACTAAAGAATAGAAAAATATTTACCGACCTACCATCAGATTTACTTGATTGTGGAACGTCAACCAATTAGAGAAGTGCTTCACACATGCAGCTAGTCCGAAGCATTCTGGCCATGCACGTGCACAAGATGCACAGGGTCGGCTTACATTTATGGTCAATTCTCTTAATTAATTTTCTCAAAAACAGAAGCATTTAGACCATCAGTGCTTAATAAAAGTTGCTCATTTTCATGCCCTCTATCACACTTTTCTAAGAATGCACTTATTTCGGAAACACCCTGTATAAGACATAAGACATCTAATACTACCAACAACGCGTTTTCATTGTTGAGGAATATATTTAAAATAATGAAGGTTCGCAATTTTTGTACAAAATATGGTCAGAATAGTGATTTAACTTCATCGACTGTGAAGAGATTATTTGAAAAATTCAGGGAGACTGGATCAATTAGTAAATACTCTGGCAATTATTCAACAAGTCGTTCAAAACATCGAAGCAGTTCGTGAGAGTGTTGCTGAGAGTCCAGGAACATCAATTCTGCACTGTATTCAAGAAATGGACATTTCGAGAAGGTAACTACAGCGTATTCTCATGAAAGATTTGCATACATTTGCTTACAGATACAGTTCAATTAACTCAAGAACTGAAATCTACTAATCACGAAGAGCTAAAAGAAATAGTTGAAATTCTTCTCTTCACAGTTGATAAAGTTAAATCATTACTCCGATGAAGTTAAATGACTTTTCTGACCATAGGTACGAAAATTACGAACTGTAGCTGCCAAACCTTCAGTATTTTTTAATACTGCTCAACAATCTAAATGCGTTGCTCTTTCATGTAGCGTTCCATTTTTAATAACTCTGAACTGTCAGCTGTCACGCTGTCTTGTTATTTGTTGGAACAGCGCAAAATTCAGATCTTGCGTGACACCCGATACATTCATATTGTGCTGGCTGTTATGTTTCAGATTGACACTTTACGTTTCATATTCGATGAGAATGGAGAGCAATTAAAGAAAAACTTCAGAGGAGTTCAACCGGCAAATAACAGAACAGTACTTCACATATGCCCATCGACCTCAAAATATAGCACCCTCCTTCCAGCACTTACCATAACTAAAACTTTCAAAGGTGAAAACTTTAGTGACCATTAAGGCAACAACAATTCTCACAGATAAAATTGATACTGCAAATAAGACAGGAGATAGGAAAGTACATTAAAACAAAATATTTTATTGAAATTATATATTTTGGTAGCAACAACTGTTATTCATTAAAACATATTTTAAATATTATTACTTATGAATAAGTATATATCGTAATACCTACTAATTAATTCTAGGAAATAATAATTATTAAAATCTAGTTCGTTATCTAAATGCTACAATACATACATTTTCCAAAGATATACTTTTGTTTACATAATAATGTAAAGAACAATTAAAACCCAATTTTTCCAAATAAATCAATCTTCCCCAGTTGAGTACGTGTTTACATCTTTGTCCTACCACTTCCTTTTCCTCGCGAGTTAATCCTATTTCACTGTCTCTAAAATTACAGTAAGAATAGGTCAAGTGAGTAAGAAAATTAATATCAAAAAGCATCAACAGTAAGAAAAGAGACAATTTACAACTAAAAATATTACATGCATTTGGCAGCAAAAACTAAACTTAGAAGACGTAAAAGTTAATCTCTCACTTCTATGTACATATGAATATTGTATTAAATCGAGGCAGCATTTGTCGAAGCTACTCCAAACTCTGGAATGTTATAAAAATATTTTTTAGGACATCTCTTTCAATGCTAAATGTATTTATTGTATAAATCAATCATATTCACAAGTAGGTACTAAGTAATGCATTTTAAAATGAAAATGTGCAGTATTTAAAAATATAGTAAACTGGAACAAAAACCTCTAGCACTAAAAAAATGCAAATTGCCAGCATGTAATTTTTTGTTTAATAGAATTGTAGCATAAAAATTCAAAAAAAATGTTGAAGAAAAATAGTATCAAGAGACATATAGGTATGGTTAAAGTATATTTTAATGTAAACTTATTTTCCAGATCTGTTTATTCTATGATCAGCAGGTTATTGAAAATGCCCTTTTTAGTACTTTATATAAAGGAGTATAATTTCATGTTCATTATTCTGAGTGTGTTATAAATCGTTATAAAAACTAGACATTTACTAGTTATTAAATAAGTAATAATAAAAATGTTAATTTGAGTGTTTAAGCCCTACTGCTGATTTTTATGGTAGGTAACTAAAAACAACTGTAATGGCTTTGTCATTACCTTTCATTCTGGGCAAGTTCTTCATTGGGGTTTTTTCTTCTTTCCCTACTCAAACCAGTTCCACATGTGGCCCAACTTGCCATACCACACATCATATAAAAATCATTTTCAGACAACTTATTTTCCTAAAATGTGTAAAATGTAACCTAATAAACTGCATAAAGTTATTTAGTTTCTAAGTAAAACAAATTTTAATATGGCACCTGTCGCCCATAGGATTTATTTAACAACTATACAGGGTGTACCAATATATGTAATTTTTATGGCTTTATTTGATACAATTGATAATTACTTTTTTTACAAAAATGATTGGAAATTATCATTTCTAGTAGCAAGCAAAAACAAATTTAAGAAAAAAATAATTGTGTGCTCATCTCCAATTTCTCCATTCTGTAAATTGTGAGCATCAAATTGGAATCTCTCTGACTATTCACCTTTAAGTCACACTAGTGCGAATTCGCACCCCTGTTTTTTTTTAACAAATGGCATTTCTCAGGTAGCAGCTGCGGATAATTCCTTCTAAAGTCCAAATAGTTCAGCTACGCCACAGTTGGCTTCAGTCTGTTATTGCCGGCCAAACAAAAAAATCTGAATCTCTGAAAAATCAGTGAGAATTCGCACTAGTGTGACTTTAGTGTGGGCAAAAGTGTGCCTGAATTTATATCATATCTAAAAATAAAGTGAATTGAAAGGAAATTTTTTTCAACCTCCATTTTATGTGTCAAATGGACTAGAACATTGTTTATTTAATTATGGTTAATAATTTTTCAAGCAGTTTTTTCATTAATAGTTTAATTGTAACATGTAATTGTCAATACTTATGGATAATGTTTAAATGAATATTTTTATACAAAAGAGTGTAAAAGGTCCATAAAATTACAGAGCTAAAAATCACAACTTCAAAAAATGTGATTCAAGATACCAGGAAAAATCAATATCATTTTATCAGTATGGGGTATTTTTTTCTTAAAAATATAGTTTGAACTACAAAATCTTTTTTTACTTTTTCTTTAGTCATTATTTGTAAGAAAAATACGAAATTAAAAGTCATTTTTTGGAAAATGTTTTTTAATCGCATTTTTTATTAACATATTTTTTATTTTTTCGTCAAAACTAATTACACCATTCGATTTCTCGGAAAAGGGGGAGAGTCGATTAGACTAGTTTTCGGCCCCTTTCATTTTTGGCCAAAAAAAAGAAATAACAATTTTTTTTATTATTTATATCCAATAACTAATCGATTCCACCCCAAACGGAACCTCCCCCCTCCTTGCTAGTCAGAAACAAGGTGAATTAGAGGTCAGATTGAAAAAAAAACAGGATCTTGGAGTTCATGTTTTTTGGGTCGCCGAGTCCGAATCGGAGGTTAGTTTATCTGCATCAGGCCATTTTAAGGTTGTTTCAAGGTCATTTCAAGGTCAAACGGAGAAAAAGCCGAGCAGTCAAGTCCAATCACCTGTTATACAGGATTTTGGGGTTGCTAGGTTAGAATACGAGGTTAGTTTGTCTATATCGATTCATTTAAAGGTCGTCTCAAGGTCTTTTAAAGGTCAAATTGAAAAAACTGCACAAATCAGTCTAACCACCTATTATAGAGGTTTTTGGTATAGCCGAGTTCGAATCCGAGGTCAGTTTGTTTGCATGAGGTCATTTGAAGGTTATTTTATGGTCATTTAAATGTCAAACCAAGAAATCATCAAGAAATCTATTGCTGTTTTTGAAGTCTCTGAGTTTAAATCATAGGTCCGTTTATATGTGTCAAATCAGATTTAAGGTCATTCTAAGATTAATTTGAGAAAAAAAAATTCTGGTAGGAATAGTGAGGGGGCGATATTTATTTCACCGAATCTTGTTGGAAACTAAAGACTGAACTGACCATATTAACCTATACAAACTTCACAAAAACTAATACTTCCTCATACCAACCCATATTACCTCGAATCCACCCATCCTGTATAACATGTGGTCGGACTTGATTTCTCAGTTTTTTTCTCAATTTGACTTTGAAATTACCTTGAAGCAACCTTAAAATGGCTTTATACAAGCAAACTAACTTCTGATTTGGACTCGGCAACCCAAAAAACTTAAACTCCGAGAACCTTTGATTTAATACACTTTTTCTCAGTCTGACCTCTAATTGACCTTGATCTTGACTAGGAAGAGGGGGGAAGTCCCATTTGGGATGGAATCGATTAGTTACTGAATATAAATAACAAATTTTTTTTTTTTGGCCAAAAATGAAGAGGGCCGAAAACCGACCTAACTGACCCTCCCCCTTTCACCAGTTTTGATATAAATATGTTATGTTTTCGTTAACAAATAAAGAAAACAGGGTTCAAAGATGGCAAAATCCAAATTCGCACTAGTGTGACCTTTAAGGTGGCCCACTTCAAATGTGACCTTTGAGGGTTAAATTAGGTGAATACGATGAGAACCTGCTGTTACATTTGCAGTATGAGGAAAATCTGAAATTATTTCACTATTATTTTTTTCTTTATTGAATTATGAGTTAGTGAGAGCATTGGTTTGTACCTATTAACACATAGATGACCTACATAATGACCTGTATGTGCTATGAATGTGTGAATAATCTCACCCATGCTCAAAACATGCCTGCAGTTAGATATTGGATTAGTTAAATCATTTGTTGCTATTTTTGCCTCTTAGCTATTTACTAGATATTATAAGTGTAATTGATTGCTAGTCGGACCTGTAGAGTAGTTGTTTCTTATATTATTAGTTAAAGGAGAGTGCCAGATAGAAATGTATTCCAATCAATGCACATGAAACGGGTATATTTTCCATTATAAGATTTAAATATAGGAGGCAAGCTCCTTCTGGTCTAACACTGGAAGAAATTCTAAATATGGTAGCTTAGCTTAGGTCCAAATACAAGGCTCATTGCAACTCGTCTCCAAATTAATCAAATTAAGGCATGGGAAGTTATTCACAAAAACAATTTAACAAACTTTTTTATTCAGCGAGTTCAGAATTTTCAAGATGCTGATAATGCTTTGCAGTTATATTTTTTCAATTGTATAAACATAGTTGGTTATAGGAAAATCCACAGTCCACGGTGCAACTTTCAGCATTGATTCAGTACTAAAGTGTGTTGTGGCATGATTAATAATTGATTACTTGGCCTCGTGCTAGATGATCATCTACTAGAGCGAGATTTGAATTTATAGAAACTAATTTGACAGATCTATTGAACGATATTAGGCAAATGTACTTTCAGCATAATGGTGCCCCTGTCCATTTTAGTTACGTTGTACAATCGTTTCCTTCAACTTTGACTTGATCGCTATTTAGCTGTGTCATCTTATCTTGATTCGAAGTATCTGGTTGTTCCATGTACACAGAATATTGAGACTGTAGTATTATCAGCGATTCTTTTTCTCTTTTGTTTTTAAAATTACACATATGTATTTTTATTCCTTTTTCACTTGATTACACCTATGATGTCTTAGATTATGTCAAATAATAACAAATTTGTAACGAACTTTACAATTAATCAGGAATTCCTTGAAAACAGTCTGAGCAACAATTGGTAGTAGTATTTTTAATATTTTTACAAATCATCATATTATTTGGCAGAATAGTGAATTAAATTAATATAAAAAAATATTTACTTTAAAAAATTCCCTCCCAACATAGGGTGTCCACCTACATCTATGGTGGCAACAGAAAGTTAATACAACTCCTTGCAGCTTTTGCTTGTTTTCAATTATATTTGCTAGACATCTCACTGCTAAATCTAGAACGAACAACATACTATCAATTTTAAGTTTTAATTAAAAAAAACATAAATATAACTAAGTACTCTGTGGTATTAAACATAATATAGGTGTTCATTATATGAAAATTATATCTACCTGTTGCATCTCCACATAAATGTTTAGTGACTCCTACAATATTTTGTGATCCCGATATAACATCCAGCTTATCCAAAAGTAGGTCGCATATATCAGCACGAACCCTCTGCACCTTGTAAGCATCTTTATTAAGTTTATTGTCACGTTTGTGTTTTGGTGAAGCTCGTTCTACTAAAAGTACAGTAGACCCTTCTATTGATTTTACTGCATTCGCTATCCAGTAACTTAATTGACCTAAAAAAAATTTTTGGCTAATATGCAGAGTAATTCAATTTTATATAAAAGACAAATAACAATTGGTAAGTAATTGAAAGTTTTTCAAATTACTTATTGCTTTTTCTTTAATATTAAACGAGATATTAATCTTAAATCTAATAGTACCTCTTCCCGCGCCAAATTCAATATAACATGTTTGAGGTTTGACCAACATTTTATATTCATCTAAAAGTCCTACTATAGCAGACACCTGCTTCAGGTGCTTTTTTGTTTTATCACCATATTCAGGTTTACTCATTTCTTCTTCAACCAGTTCCTGACTCAAAAATTTTTCAGATACTTTATCTTTAATGTACTCTAAAAAATAAAATGTATTAATCAATCAATATCAATTTTTTTACTAAATTTATTCATAGTAATAACAATTCTTAATACGTACGTCAACTTACTTTCATATATTTCATTTACTTTTGAAATAACTCCCTTTATATCAGAAACAGAAAATGTAGATAAAAGTTTATATGAATCAATAATGGCTTCACCTTCTTTGCCAGAATTTATTCCTTTTGAAATATATGGTTCCGTAGATGTACGACCTGCATTGCATATCTTTAAATGCTTTTTTAAATTATGAGCATAACATGTGCTGAAAATGGTATACCAAATAAATTCAAATGGTATAAATAAGTTAAAAGACTTAACTGTTTTCTGTCTAATGGGCACACAATTCTTATTTTTGACGATTTGTCTTTATCTACATCATCGGTTAAAGTAGAATCCAAACTCGTATTAAGCCTTTGGTGTTCACCACAGTATTCTTCACCCACTTTCACAGTCATTTTACAGTATCGTTTCTTACGAGTTACGAAATATTTACAATTATGAAACAGATTTACTCTTGTGAAATCAGTCATTTTGAAAACTTTATATATTTAGTAATATCTGAAGTTTAATAAAATTACTTAAACTTTCTTGGAAATTTCAGTTTTATCAGCGTATTTAAACACGTAAGCAAGAAGACTACAGAAGGAGCAGGAACTCCATGTAAACAAATATCTAGGTAAACTTGATACCACGACCTCGTGGTTAAGAAAAATATATGGTTTTAAATAATATACAACCGGCTAAATTGTGCTCCAAAAGAAAATATTCTTTATATATGTTTTCTTGATCTCAAATAGTCAATATTCACAATCAGTCCCAAAATAACATAGATCTAATCTCTAATCATAAGCAGGACCCGAGAACTTATACTTGAAAATATGGGGAAACTCTGGGAACCACGTGACTTGAGATGGATATACAAGTTGGGGAAAGAGTCTATAGATGTCGCCACAAAGACTTTGTAGAATAAATTTTGCAATTATGAATCATTTCATGTCATTTTTGTTCTTGTTCATGTTTATTGTTTATTGTTGGTTAGGTTTGGCGAGTGTTGGTGTGTGTTTTATTTGTGTTTTTAGTGTGTTTTATTAGATATTTCATTCACATTTATTTATATAACATAATGTCTGATCATCATATAATCACATTTTTTTATTAATAATAAAATGTTTTTTTGTTTTTTTTTTAATAAAAAATGTGATCAGAGGTAGGTAGTTTTTTTTATGGATATCAACACAACGAAAAATTTAAAGTTGCATAATAAATCTCTATTACAAGAATTAATCAAAGATTGGTTTAGTAAAATTATTTACTTGTAATATTTTTTTATTCACCGTGAAAGCTAATACAATATAGAAAGCACTGAAACTCTATAATCATTTTCACTCTTTTTTTTTCAAAATATGTACTGAAATTTGAAATTTTTTCAACAAACATTTTAAAAAGTTACAGTATCAAAATTATTTCTTATTTTAAGTAGGAAGACTATTAGAGCATTTAAAAGTGACTTTAATGCTTGAGTGATTTTAATGCTTTTTATCAAATGTACTTATTTTCTCATGGTGACAAAAAAAATTATCTACGTGAAAATTATTTTACAAAATCAATTTCTGAGTGATCTGTGTAGGGTGAGATTTGTTATGTAATTTTAAATTTAGCGGCGGCACAATACCTAAAACAAATATTGAGTAAGTAGGTATATAGTTGTAGAGCGTACAACTAGATGGCGCTTGCATCTTTTACCGGCTACAGGTAATTTAACTCACTGTATTACCGACAATTCCTAGAAAAGGAAAGCAATAGAAGTTGGAGAAAGTGTCAACAGTTAGCGCTGTTAATGACCACGAAATCTGTTCAAGTTTCCTATCTATAGTATCATTTATCTAGGATCATAAAGAACACCTAACCTAAAATTCTATCCCCTTCCTACTGACCACAGACTATAATTTCTGACATAGATAGTTTCTGACGTCTCGTCTCGCGAATGCAGCTAAGAGCTCGCCCTCTGGCGGTGACACGTGATACTAGCGAAACAAGGTAAACATTTCTTCTGTGTGTGACATTTCGTTTTGTATTTTATTTAAAACTGTGTTTAGTGTTCGTTTTTTGAACACTGTTATTTTAAAATTAAGAATATAGTGTGAGGAAAACTTCAGCAATTATGGATAGAAAGAACAAACTGTCAAACTATTATTGTTCAGTTCAAGGTTGCTCTTCATGGTCTAAGAAAAATCCAGAATTAAGTTTTCATCAAACCATTGAAGAAATTTTCAAAATATTATTGCCGATAGATAATACTCCTTGAATTTTATGTGGGTTCTTGTTGTTATTTAGTAAGGGCTCTATTTGCAGTTTACAGACACGATATAAATTTCTAAATTTAAATTGACTGACCAATTTTCCCATATAGTACCACATGACCAGCGTTAAAAACTGCCTCTCCTTCCGATATACAACAAGAGCCCTTTTCTTTTATTCATGATTTCGGAATCATAACGCGTTACGATCCAATGGAAACCAATCAGATTGCTAGATTTCGGATAGTAACGCGTTATGATTCTAAAATCGTGAATAAAAGAAAAGAGTTAAGAGTTTTCGTTGGCATATACCTATGTAAATAGGAAATGTATTCCCATAGAGTCTATGTGTATTCCACAACGGATAAGTTCATAGTTATAACCTAATAAAATGTACATTAAATTGTAATGCTAGAGACAAATAAAGTAGACATAAATACTTGCCTTAAAATTTATTTATGAAATATTTGAAACCTATAAAATAACACAAAAGTCAAATAATCGCCGTTTGATAACAAAATTACTAATAATAATGGCAAATAAGACAAATGTTCAAATGAATGTGTAAACACGAACGGCAATGTCAAAATTACCTTGTCTCGGAGCTTGCTGCTTTCGCCGCTTGGTGCGCTTGCATCTTAAAAATTATCGCGAGCCAGTCTAGGATGTAACTGTGAGAATACTAATCAATCAGTAGGGAAAGTTACGTTTCCCGCGTCTTCCATATTTCCACCATTTTGTTAGCAACTGACAGTTATTACGATTTCCGTTCTCATATTTTCATTCATGGATCGAGTATGTTTTTATTATTGTATATGTAACTAACCTCTCCTATACCTTCTTATATCTCAGCTTTATGTATTAAAGACCTTATTTTATGATGTTGAGGAGTTTAGTTTAGTTTTCTTGTTATTGTGTATTTTATTAGTGATTATTTATTTATAAGTAATACTATACTTACCCAGTAAATAGTTAGTTAATAATGAAATAAAAATTATAGTAGACTTACATTTTGGAATTCAAATAACTAAACCTGTATTTAACCAAAAAGTGTAAACTTCTATTAATAAAAAAAAAACTCAATTTACGTGTAACACTACTACATAGTTAACAATCCCCCCCCACCTGCTAACCTTTTCTGTTTCAGAGACAGCCAGGATCAAGAAACGAAGACAACGACACACACACACACACATACACACACCCCATACCCTCCTTTCCCCTCCCCTCCCTCGCTGGGCTAATGGCCACCTTAGCAAAGCGCGTCCCAGGCTGCATAGCCGCACTACCCTACCCAACCATACCACACATAAACATGACACTACCCCCGGGGTTTACACAGACGAGCCGGCGAAGCAAGAAGAGCGCCAGAAGAAAGGGCCCTAGCCGGCGGGGCCCAGCNTGAATAATTTCATTAATAGACTGGTTTAACTTAAAAATAAAATAAATCTAAAATTCGCCTTTAGAAAACTTTTTTCATGTAAATAACTAAGTCTTTTGCATGATTAACCTCATTTTCTGCTGCACATAAATTCCTGGCTTTTTTGTTAGTACATCCCTGTTTAGCGCAATAAAATTTCACTGAATACAATCCTGACTTTCTATACCAAAAGTGGGGGATTTACGTCATTCAAGGTCCCTGAAAACAGACATCAGTGATCAAAGGTGTCGACAACGAGATATAATTCTGGTTGTTTTATCTTCTGTGTCAAAACTCTCAGACTCAAAAGTGTGATGTGACTGACTTTTCTGTGTTAATAAGATTAAGATTTAACAATGGAAATAATTCCTTCAAAAAAACGATCGGTAAATTTTAATAGTGAAGAAAAAATAATACTAATGAACGTAATAAGAAATTATAAAAGTACAGTGGATAATAAAAAACCGATAATGTTTCTGTACAACAAAAAACAAATGCTTGGAACATGATAGCAGGTGAATTTAACTCACTGTCGCCAAATAATATTCACAGAACAGTAGAATCATTAAAAAAGTTTTATGAAAACAAAAAAAAGGAAGTTCGTAAAATTGTTGCCTGTGAAAAAAAAGAAATAAATCTAACAGGAGGTGGCACTACACTTAAACTTACAAAAGACCCAAGCCACGAGTTGGTGTTATCGCTTATGAATAACAAATCGGTGTTTGGATTGACTAACCCTTTTGATAGTGACAGCATTAATACTGAAATAATATTAAAAGTAAATAACGAACATACTCCTGGCCCTAGTATTGACAATAACGTTAAACAAAAGACAATTGATGGTCTCTTATTTTCTTCTACGGCTAATGTAAGTATAAGCAAAAAAAGTCAAATACATTTATTTGTTTTTAAAAATATCTTGTTTCACAAAGTACTGCCTACTCTCTGAAATGCTGTTTTGTTTTATTTCTAGGATGAAACTGATTTAGATTCTTATGAAGCGCAAGAAGACGAATATTTTGAGGTTTGTACCCACATATTCTTAAAATAATCGTAGAGGTCATCAATGCTCATTATATTTGTCATTTCTAGGATATTGATACAGATAGTAACAAAGAAAACACTTGGAAAAAATATAAACCTACAGATTTACAGGCACCACTCAGCAGCCCTCTTCAAAGATGTCGAAATGAAAATTTGGTAGGTATGCACTTTTACTAGTTTAACTGTCAAAATAGCTCACAATCAATTTTTGAATTTGAAAAATTGATAAATATAAATACTAATAAACACTACATATTACATGGTGTTTAAACAGTAATTTTAACAGTAGTTAGATATCAAAGATTCTTTGGAAAAAATTTTATATTATAGCTATCTTCTATTTGTGAACTTCTGGGGAGGGGGTAATGTCTCCAAAAAGAAACGCTCAGACATTTCACTATCTATCTGAAGCTAACTTTACTAACTAAAAATAAAAAACACCGAAAAGCAAATTATTTTAATCTTCGTAAGATAAATTGTAGGTTTTTACGTGTTTTCGTCATTTTGGAGTAGACAGATAAATTACCTATGTATAATTATTTTTTGACACATTCATATGATACATTTTATTCTATTTCAGACCCAAAACACACCAGTTCGAAAAAATAAATCTGTGAATAGAAGACGTCCAGCAACAACAGTAAAAGCCTTAACTTCTTCACACTTAGCCCAAAAATATAATGTATTAGTTGATAAACGGTTGGCAATTGCAGATATGGTAACAAAAAAGATAGTAACTGATGTCAGTATGCAAAAAGAAGAACATTCTCTGAAAACTAAGCTTCTTCAGAAGAAAATTGAATTAAAAGAAGAAAAACTAAAATTACTTAAAAAACAAAGTGCTTTATTATGATTTATAACTTTTTAAAGTAAAATTAAAATATGACGACGTGTGTGTATTGTTAAGTATATTTTTATCATTACAAAGAGTTTTAAATAAATAAATGTGTTCATATATTAATTTAAAAAATATTTTATTGGCAGCTTCATTATAAAGAATTATTTATTTTTGTAAAATATTTTTAATAAAAACAATCAAATATTTATTGATATTTATTTTGTAAAAAATAAATATTAAATAAC